TCGGTTGAAAATTATGTGAAAAATATCATATTTTTCGATGTAATTTTGTTTGTTATTTAGCTCGTTGCTATTTATTTAGGAAATTCGACTATTCAAATAAAGGGTTTTTTTTTTTTTTTTTTTTTTTTTTTTTAATAATTTGCTTACGACCTCAAAACGTCAAATAGATTTTTTTTTCTAAAAACAGAAATCATTTTTTGGGAAGTTTTTATTAACTTGATTTCCTAATAGAACTGATTGTTTTCAATATCACAAAAAGCACAATATTTTATATTATGGGTTGTTTTTTAATGAACCATTTCTAATTGTATAAGATGTTGACTTTAAATTTTCGTGTTCATCTCTTCACAATCATTGCAACTCATTGGCGAAAACAAAACCACCAACATTTAATTGTATTAAGGGTTATTTAAATTTTTTCTATAATAGGTAAAACCATATTAAACCATCTCTCAAGATTACATTATATTTCATTTTGTTAATCATTTAACACATCATATATAGCCATCTTTTGATTAAAAAATTAAGAAAAATTGCATGTTATTTAATTTTATTAATCGTATATCAAACAAAATTTAGTAATTTATTAATGAAAGAAAATATCAAACAGTATATGCTATTTAATTTTCTTAATCATAAATCAAATCAAATGGAGTACTTTTTAAACAAAAAAGTTAAGAAATAAAAAAATAGAAAAATATTGAGGATAAATAGGCATCGTTGGCCAATTACTCCACTCTTGTGCCTTGGGATATCTCCATATCATTTCAACTCCAATAGAGAGAAAGAGAATGGGGAGAGCACCTTGTTGTGAGAAGATGGGATTGAAGAAAGGCCCATGGAGTCATGATGAAGACCAAATCCTCATTTCATACATACAACAACATGGTCATCCTAACTGGCGTGCTCTTCCGAAACATGCTGGTAATTATATCTTATTATAGCTCCATATGCATTACTTCTTGATCTTTGTCATAGAAATATTCATTTGGTTTCTCTTGTAAAGATTTTTCAGTTTGACAGCACATATGAGTACTTTTATGTTAATTTTTCTCAATCTAGTTAGAATATGAGGATTTGAAGAACGTATAGAGATGATCAAATCCTCATTAGCGATTTAACTCCTTTCACATGCAAGGAAACTAATTTGACATATAGATGAAAACGAAAGAGAAAATCACAGTGTCGATCGTTCTCAGAAAAGATGCTGAGTTCATGAATATGACATGATACAACGATTGTGTTCTCTTTACACATGAAAACATAGAGTTGTTATGTTTGTCGTTGGTTGATTTAGCATTGAAATTTAGTTCACAAGTTTTAAGATCAAAGTGGGTTAGTGTTCATTTTCGGTTTTAATTTGTTTTCTTATTGTTTTTATTTTCAGGTTTGTTAAGATGTGGAAAGAGTTGTCGACTTCGTTGGACCAATTATTTACGACCAGATATTAAGAGAGGAAACTTTAGTAGAGAAGAGGAAGACACCATCATTCATCTACATGAAATGCTTGGAAATAGGTACAACGGAGTTTTTCAATCTTATTCGTATCTTTAGTAAACAATTATCACTTTATTATTTTTGTAAAAGACATCAGCATTTCATATAACATTTTGACATAAGGAGTCGGACATAGATTTTGGTTTTCAATTATTATAAAGCGTGATATTTGTTTATATTAATAATTTCAAAAAACATATTTGCTAATCAAATGTATACAAGGGACTCATGTCTATTCATTTCATATGAAAATTACATTTTACGTTAATCATTTTGATCATATAAACCCAATAACGTCATGTACCAGAATTTTAAATAACAAACTTTAGATCCGCAGACATGATGATGACACAGTGAAAATAGTTTTTTGGATGGGCAATAAATTATTCAAATTGGCTATTGGCTACCACGAATCGCAATCCCGGTTTTCATGCTTTATTATTTAATTATGTTTCAGAATAAATAACTACACAACATGTATACTTTTATTTTCAAACCAACATATATCAACATGTGCCCAAGCATAAAATACGATTTTTTTAACACATATTTCAAGAATAAGAATATAAATAAAGAATAAGAAAAAGACAAATCCATTGGTACTTTTTATTTTGCACGTATTAGTCGTAACTAATTAAATATATAATTTTGAATACAAGTTTGTCATGAAGCTTGGCTTTCCTTGATTTTACAGATGGTCTGTAATCGCAACGAATTTACCTGGCCGAACTGACAACGAAATAAAAAATGTTTGGCATACTTATTTGAAGAAAAGACTTGAAAGTCATGAGACAACCAGCCATGCTCCAAAAAGACATAGCACCAAGTCCAAACGTGCTTCAAGCGATAAAAATTCAGAAGAATCGATTGTTTCACAATGTCATGCCCAACCACAACTAAACTCCCATGACGAGGAACAACTAGTCTATGTTCAACCATCGTGTAGCGAGTCTTCATCTGAAACAGAAACAACGACCAATTCATTTGATGTAGCTAAACATGAGGAAATCAAGCATGAGACATTTCTTGATGATAGTTTCTGGTCGGAAACGTTATCTGGTGAGGGTGACGACATCATGGAATCTAATCCAACGACAAACATATCGAGTGTTGAGTTTTCATCGTCTCCACTCAAAGTTATAGAGAATGAAGACATAAGAAATCCATATACTGATTGTCATATGGGTAGCATAGACCTATGGTACGACATTTTCACACGCATTGAGGAATTACCCGAGTTACCTGAGTTTTAGTTTAGATATCCATTTGTATTCTTGTTATGAGACATAAATTAAGCACAAATGTTGTATCTTTCATATTCTCGTAACGTAAGATAAGTAAGAAATACATTTATTATAGAAAAAATGGCTCCTAACTTTTTTCTAATATATTACATATGACGATAAATTGAAATCTCATCATTACAAAGATGTTGAGTTTTCTTTGACCAATGGAGACAAAGTTGAATTGAATTCTTAGGTAGTGGCAATTTTAAATGTTTTTAATGTGACGTAGGATATAACAATCATTATATTTTAATTTGTATATAATTTGTATATCGAATAAAACAAAACAATCTATAATGAATATTCTTCATTTGATCCCGGTAATTGCTTTAGAATACTAATGAAATTGTTTATTTAAGATTCGTCGTAAAAACTATATTTATATTATATTTAACTAGTTTATAACATTAAATAAGTTATTACTTAATAGAATTTTTTTTAGTTATATAAAATTATAATTGTTGATTTAAATAAATATATGAAGTTATATCAATTTATAATTTGTATTAATTGTATGTATTTTATTTTTTAATCTAATGTTATTACTTTAATATAATTAGAACGAAAAATTTTAAAATTTGAAATTTAAAAAAGAAAATCAATTATTAATTTATGTAATTAGAGTAGGAATTTAAAATTTCAAATTTGAAATTGATAATAACTGGGTTGAAAAATGACATGATATGTGACATATAGTTTTATTAAGGAGTTCTAATAGTATTACAGTTGTCAATATAAGAATAAACATATTACTTTATTAGAATATGAATTTTGAGAAGGAATTATATATAGGAATGTATTTAGAAAATAAGGAGACTCCTAGAAAACACCAAAATTTTATACTTAAATACTCGAAAAAAACCATTACGTTGTTTTTACATACGATAATTGAGAAATTATTATTTCTATGAAATGATAAAAAAAGAAAACAAAACTATTTATATTCATAAAGTTTGAATATATATATATATATATATATATATATATATATATATATATATATATATATATATATATATATATATATATATATATATATATATATAGGGAAAGGATCAAATGAGAACACCTAAAAGGTTGAGAACGCAAGAACAGTTCTGAACCAATCAATAGATAAGGACATATAGATAAACTTGTATTTTAATTAAATGATATTTTCCTAAATTTTTGGGATTCTAATTGACTGTTACCAAAAAAATAATTTTTTTTTGCCATTTTCTTTATATCATTAATGAAAGAGGAAAAAAAGTTATCAATTTAAAATGATTTTATATTGCTTTACGTGATTATTGTCCATAAATGAATAAATATCAAACTAATTTATTGAGTGTACAATCGATTAAAAATATATAACAGTTAACTAAGTTTGTAATTTAAATTTATTGAATAGTGTCATATTCATAACTAAAAGTATCATGACTGGATTTGTCTTTTTCTTTTTTTTTTTATTGTTCATGAATTGATATCAAAAAATATTTAAGAATTCACCATTTCGTTGCAAATAAATATGCGTTTTATTACAATCATAAATGAATACAACTTTAATAATACATGAATACATTTACAAAAATACAAAAAACGTCTAAATTCCTATATTTTCAGTAGTTATATTCATATAAGAATATAATGTGAATTATAGATGAATTACTACAACATTATTATTTTTTTCTTCATATTTTCTTGTTGCTATCATACATATAGAAACGAAGAGGGACGCCCTTGATCCTGCTATCAATTTCCATTCTTTACGGTTATCCTTATTAGAAACATCAAGCTCTAAATTACACCTGTTCAACATATAAATCATTAAGGTATGAAATCATGCATTTATAATATACTTCTATTCATTGATTTTAACTACAAATGAGACATTTGACATTGTATTCATATAAGATTACAACTGATTTTTTATCTAAAAAACATAGCTCTAATCATTAACAATTAATCAATCCTTAATACCGATTCACAAAATACATCAATGAATAAGACAAAAATCACAAGGATGGTTTACCTACTATGATTTAATAGTTCTAATCATTAACAATTAATCAATCCTTGATACCGATTCATATACAATTGTAACAATCTACGTGACTTACCTTCGAAACCTTGACTTCTGATTTACATTTTGACCATGCACTTGATTATCTGCAAAATTAAAAGATCTATCAACCAATCCAGCCTAATACCCATGAATAAAATAAGAGTTTCTTATAATCATCTGTTGTGGAATTTAATCTTATAATCATCTACTTCATCAATGATTTGGTTTAGCAACTCTTTCTCTATCTTCTCCTTCTCTTCTAAATGCAATGCATTTTCTCTGTCATGAGAAACATGTTAGGGTTCCGATTTAGAATGCATACAACATATCAAATTACCGTTAGATTAGGGCTGTCAATGAGTCAGATCGAGACTAATCATTCAATGAACTTGTTATCAATTACAGTCAGAATAAGTAACAGATATAATCAGAGTTAAATGTCAACTGATTCTCTGAATAATACTAAAAAAGCCAATTGATTCTCCTGCCTAAAACTCAAAAACGTATAATCGATCAAAGCATAAAATGATAGAAGAATGAGAAAATTAACAGACGAAATTAATCCATAAGCTTGTGTAATTAAAGAAAAACATAAATAATTAATAAAAATGATAAAGCCCTAACCTCCTCCATTCTATGAGTGCAAAACCCTCCTCAGGCTGCATCTCCGACAGTGGGAACAGAATCTATCCATCTGACGCCATATACTCACCTTCGAAGGGCGTTCCATTTTCGTTAAACGATGAAATTTCGGGCTGATCGGTCGATAATCCTCCACCGGAAACGAAAATCAGTGTTGGGGACGGATAATTAGATACCTGCTCCTCCTCAGTAACCAATATCGGAGAGTCTTCAACTACGAAACCATCATCGGAAAGGTGAACTGGATCGGCGACTAAATCATCAAACGATGAAGACATGGTTGACTTGTGTCACAACTATAAATTTTGAGCCATGTAATCTATGCGTTCAAGTACATGTGAATCAAAAACTTCAATCAAATACAAGATACAAGTACTATAAGTAGTCATCAAACAATTGGAGACCCTAGAAGTTCTTGTTAAGTCCATTTAGGACTAGGACTTCCTTATTGGATCCAAATGGACCAATGAATTTCCAAATTGGACTATCAAGGGTTTAGGACCCTAATTGGGTTCTAATTGGACCCACATTTGTTTATTGCAATATTTTGGGCTAGGTAGAACCTAGAATGAAATAAAACACAAGTTTTGATCCATAATTTAACCTAACCTAGCTTAATAAAGCATAAAAATCACAATTTTATTTTATAAGGCCAATAAATACCCTAAACTACCTCTAATGTTGGGCTTAGGGGCAAAGAGCCCAATTTTTCCTTCTTCTCTCCCCATTCTCGGCCCAATGCATGAGCCCAAGAGGAAAGGAAGCATGTTGACTTGTGAGTGACACCTCACTATTATCTAATGGATTTCTAGGCACATATCACATACCTCCATGCATGTATCACTTCAAATATCACTTCCTCTCTTCTCTCTTCCCACTCTCGGCCGAATCCCCTCTCACACACACCAAAAATATCTCAAATTCTCTCTAGAACACTCAAGAACTCTCCTTCCTCCCCTCTCCAAAAATCTCGAAAATTAGGGACTTTCCAAGAGGATTTTGCAAGTAAATCATCATCTAAGGTAAGATTATGCATAGATCTATGGTTTAAATTCTTTTGTTATCAAAATCCTTTCCTAATCTATGCAAAAATCGTGATCTTGCACCCTAGAACCATCTCAAAACTCGAGATCTTCATCAAAGGGAGCCAAGGCCAAAAACACTTCATTTTTCCTTCCATTTTCCTTGCAAAACCGAATCAACACCCCAAGGTGAGCTTCATACCCCCTATTTTCTGTTTTTATGAGTTTTGTGGGGGGGGGGGAATACAAGTGAAAGTGTAGATCTATATGTGTTTTATGCCTTGTATGATTTCCATGCTTATATGTATGCTTTTATGTGTTTTTATGTTGGATCTAGCCTCAAAACTCATCAAAACCGAGATATAACTTGTGCTACATGATTTTAACTTCAAATATATTTCTAAACACAAAGTGCTTCAAGAAAAATTGGCTAAGTAGTTTAGCAATAATTTCTTTGGGTTAAAAACACAAATTTTGGGCCTAAAATGTGAAAAATGCAAAAATAAGGGCCCAAATCGACATGTCACAGATTCTGATGGATGAAGTGTGCCAAAACAGTTTTCATAAATAAATTTCTGGAAATATACTCATTTAGGGGACTAAAAACATAAATTTTAAGCTTAATGGGTTAAAAATGTAACTTTCGGCCCAATAAGGCCCATTATGCGAATTTTTCTGTTTTGGAGGGCCAAAACTGTAACTTTCTGTAAAACAGTGGACTATAAGTGTTCCAACTCCTTTTCAAAGGTTTAAAATGCTTTTTAAATTTAAAAAGGACCAAAGTTGCAAAAATTTTCCAAATTGGGCCAAAATTGTAAAAATTGCGAAAAAGGGGTTAAAACCATGAAAACTGCATTTTCAAGGACTTAAACTGTTTTTATGAAAAATATGTTGAAAAATATTAATTTCAATAATTTTTGGTGTTAAAATGTCAAGAAAAATAGTTTAAGGACTAAACCGGGAAGTATTTAATATAAGGGGTTGAAAATGTAAATTTTACAAATGATGAGGGGCTGAAAACAGGAATATTTCAAGGCTAGTTCAATATACCAATTTGATCAAATGATGGCACCACGACTATCAACGGAATACAATACATTACAATACCAAAAGTCGTTGTTAAACGAATTGGCTCGGTCTCGAGCCAATAGAAATCTACAACTACTAACACTACGACACTACAATTCATACAAGTAACGTTTGGTTATACATACACATGCGAGTGTGCACAGACGTCTATGCACCATCTTTGGGCCCCACAAGTGTAAAATCTTGTTCGTTGAGCCTAGCTAGCCCAATGACCTGATCTTAAGGCCCGAAGACATTTTTTTTACGGAGTGTTGGGTTTTACCGATCCGACACAACGTAAATGGACTTTCAATGGCTTGTATACCACCGGTCCCCAAGGGTCCTTTGGTCTTGCTAGTAAGGTCTACATTTCATGCGAGGCGGGTCTGGGACCCCTCGTACATTTTATCCCCAACCGGCTAATGGAGTTACCGGGGTCTTCGTGACCTCTTTCTCTTCGGATGTGGGACTTCACCTAGTCAGGGCGATTGGATAACGCGATTAGTATTGACGACGCCTTCGGAGTCGTTAGTATAACTATAAACTGGGCGTTTGTGTAACGCGGGTTTGTAGTAAATAATCCTGCTCGAAAACCTTCCAACGTCGCCCGGGACTGACACTATACGCTATGCCATGGTTTCAATGTAACATCACGTAATTCAAGGAACTAGGAGAACATCGGGTTTTCCTAGGGTTTTCAATACTTACAAATTTGAAATGCATACATTCTAAACGAACATTTTTTTTACAAGTATAGAAACAAACAAGCATACCTATGGATCTTCACAAACGTTTTCGGAAACTTATCTTTTCAGAAAATATCGGATTTTCTGGTGGTTCTTCAAACAATACAAACATTCGATTTCAAACACTACTTATGAACTCACCAACATTTCATATGTTGACGTTTTTCAAAATACTTGTATTCTCAGGGAGCCAGTGAATCAAGGGAAATCATATCCAGTGACGGTTGCGGTTTATTTTTGTATGAATTAAACAACTTAATTTTTGGGGAATGTAATGTTTAAACAATGTATGTTATGTAAACACTACTGGTTGTACTATGTTGATGAATGGTGACGAATGTTGTTATGTTTCATATATATTCAATGTTATGGTATTCAATTGAGTCACGACAGCCCCCGGACGTTTCCGCCGTCTGGTTCGGGGTGTGACAGGTTGGTATCAGAGCTTTGTTTATAGTGAACTAGCATGTCGAGCCATACATTGATATGCAACTATAAACCAAAAAGAGGGACTAACATAACTCTGAACAGAACGAGTAAATAAAACACACTTGCTTGCATTAGGAATAAGACCTAACGCTGAATCAAACACAATAATACTGGTATCTTGGTTAATTCGGGACTGTTCTTAGGGATACCAAGGAGTGAATGTAGCCTGATCAACTACGTTCTCTCCAAGGTAAAACTAACACACGTCTTGATGAGATCGGGATAGCCAGGGAACCAAAAACTATACCCTTATCACCCAAAAAGAGAATGTTGCTTAGTATGTATGATAGATATAGCATCCAAGGATAATGTAGTATATTTACGTACTCGCGCAGACAGCATGGCTGGTTTTCATCACCCGGGAGACCCCTACTTCCCTAATCAGGGAAACAACGGGTGGCTAGAGGAGTCCGAGGAGGAACCTGAGGAGGAGCCTGAGGAGGAACCTGAGGAAGAGCCTGAAGAGGAACCCGAGGAGGACCCCGAGGAGGAACCTGACGGGGAACCGGAGGCAGAAGCCGAAGGCGAGCCTGTCGAACCCGAAGAAGACGAAGAGCATTTCGAAGAGGAGCTCGATGATAGCGACGGGGGTGATTCGGATGCGGAGTCCGAAGTCATCAACCCCCCTTACCCAATCCGGGTGCCTGCATATCGAGTGGGCCCCACTGGCCCTACACCTCCCTGGGGTATGGACCTCTGGAGATGGAGCAGACAGCAGGGACAGCGACCCCCGTATGGCATGTCACGCGAGTTCTTTGACCTGAGAGATGGAGGACCGGCCGACCGAGCCCTTCCAGTCATGGTAAAACGGTTACGGAATACGGGCGATCTTGCCCAGGACACTGCGGATCAGGTACACCAATTGAGGACTAGGGTCGAGCGTGCGGAGCAGGAGACGCGTGACGTCCTTCGAGAGTTTCACATGAGACAGGTTCGGTGGGAGTCTCGACTCCGGGACGCGGAACGCTTGGTTGCTCGTCTTCAGGGAGCATCCACATCTTCGGCACCACCTCCTGACGCAGCTCATCGCGGTTAGGAATAGACTTATTATAGTAGGTTATTAGGAACTATGTTATGTACTCCGGCTCTATGTTTAAGTGACTACACTACTCATGGAGCCGTTATACTGTCAGATTAGCATTATCTATGTATGCTCCTACGAGCAAATTTTCTTGTACTAAATGCGGATAATATTAATGAACTTTTGTGTGTTTTGCTAAATTATTCTTAGTTGCTATGTGTTGAGACATTATGATTGCATGCTTGATGATAGTAATGTTTAGGTTCGCACCATACACCTAGATAGTAGGTCGCAACCTCCCAGAAACCACGAACACTCAACATCTTTCCGTTTCATGACAGAAAGATGCCTCGCCCAACTACTCGCGGAAACCCAGGACCAACCCCGCCCGAAGCTGACTCCACTGCTTTCCAGGCAGCCGTGTCGCTGCAGTCACAGCAGCGATGGCACAACTTCACCGAGGAAACAACGGAGGAGGTAACGGGCAAGGATCTGGAAGTTCGAACAACGGGGCGAACCAAGGACTCACTAAAACGTGCACCTACAAGGATTTTGCGAACGCTAAACCCCGAACTTTCAACGGTACCGGAGGAGTGATCGCCCTAAAGCGATGGATCGAGAAGGTAGAGTCGGTATTCGAGATATGCGAGTGCCCCGAGCAGATGAAAGTGAAGTTCGCGGCCTGCACTTTGGTGGACCAAGCACTCACTTGGTGGAATGGTCATGTGGAAGCCATGACACTCCCGGTCGCCAACTCTATTCCCTGGGCAGAGATGAAAGAGATGTTGACGGCTGAGTACTGCCCCCGAGGCGAAATACAGAAGATGGAGCAGGAACTATGGAATCTCACGGTGCAGAATGGGAACATCGATGCTTACATATCGAGATTCAGCGAACTATCTCTGTTGTGCCCGGGTATGATCACTTCAGAG